GTCATTTTTATCACTATATAAGTATTTGCATGCTTAAAGTGTAGTTGGACAGTCGCTTTTACCAATGTCCATATTTTATCATGTTTTGATTAACGTAATAAATGATCACGCCGTCGCTTAATGACTTAATATGCGGCAATACAATAATAGCAAGATAGAGAGTCCTATTGAGTTGGGTTAGGGATGCTATTTATGCTTCATAGACGAATTGATCACGTTACTCTTCACTTTTTCGGTTACTTGTACAGTAGAATATAAGGTAGCAATCCGTCATCATTATGTCGCTGAAGAGATTGAGGCAGAAAATAAACCTGTAATTGCTACTAAGGACTAAGACATGACTTTGGTAACTAGGCGAAGATTGTGAAGTAGTCTTGATAGCTGATTTACTCCTGCCACAAGTTACTTCTAGACATTGTAAAACCAACACTGTCAATACTACTCATTTTTATAATTATAAATGGACTGCTAGTCATTCCAGCGCTTTCTTTTAAAATACGACTAATATCGTTTTAATGGTTAATTTGCATTCAGAACTGGGAGGATTTCGATCAACTCAAGCAGCTTCTCAAGCAGCAACAAGCTTGGCTAGATGTACACAAAAATAATGTCGTTCAAATGATCTTGTGGTTTAGCATGTCAGATAGTTTGATCAAACAGCGAGCTTTGCAATTAGCTAAGGAAAATGTGCGAAATGGTGAAAGTTATTGGAGCATGTCAAGGTAAGTAAACTACTTCCAATTTCATCAATCCATAGCAGTACTACCTACTGTAATTTACACTATACTGTCGATTCTGACTTGCAAATAGGTGTTCAACTAGTGCAACAACTCAATATACTTATGATGCATGCAAAGCATACGGTAAGAATCGATTGGATCAGTCTATATCAGTTTCGAATCCCGACTTTGGAGACTTGCGAATAATTGGTACTCAAAATAATTATGGAGAAGACTGCCAAATTGTGGTATGTTAGTATACGATAATAAAACGGCAATGGCCAAGAATTAGAATGGACTATCGTTGAACTAGTGCTGAAAATACAATCCAATCAGTCATAGACTGCCAATAAAATCAATGCTGATTACTCGTTACTCTATCATGTCATTCACGTCAATTCATGTCTTGCTCACTATTGCAATTGCTTTAATAGATTCAAGATTATCAAACATCACAAACTGTGCTTCAAATATCTCCACCAAGCATGCATATTGGAAAAGTGGAAATCTCAGCTGACGGTCGGACTGCAGCCTTCAAGCAATTAAGCAGAAAGGTAGCACATTGCAATTTGAGTAGGATTGAGTTGATGGTAAGTTAATTCTTCATTCATTTGTTGAATATTCTTAGGACGAGTGGATCGTTTACGATCTCGATAAAAATGAAGAAATAAGCTTTGCCCAAAACGATCAAGGGGAAGACGTTAAGACTGACTTTGATTCCGTACAATTTTGCCCTGCTCAATCTCAAACCCAAGTGATCATGACACTCTCTGGAGATTCCCGTGAAGTTAGGGTTAGCAGTGAATATGAGTTTAAGCGAATATTAATTAAGCATGCCAAGTGATTGAAAACTGTTGCGTTCAACTGTTGTTGTGCTGTGTATTATTAGATTTGGAAGATTGAGGGGAATTGTATTAGACCTACAAATAAGCAAATATCACGCCAATACAAAATAGAATATTGTGGATGGGTACTAGTGCAAGATAGTGCTTGTGTCTTGTTGTGGTGGAGAAAATATCGAAGTCAAGGAGGGAAGTCTGAACCTGTCGATCCGCAAAATTGGATTAATGAATGTCAAATTGAAGTAAGCTACCATTGACTAAATGCAGTAAAGTCAAATATCGTCTCTTAGATCCAATTGATAAAAGCTATTTGTATCAATTTGATGGATAGATGTGGAATGCACAGCAATGGACTTGTCGATCATTCAAAGTACCTGCTTTCATCCATGCAAAGGATGAAAATCGGTACTTTGCTACCAATGATTTTCAACATGGCTTGCCCTTAAGGCACATCAACATCTACCGTGATGCAGCCTATATGATATTGTCATACACCAGCTCTAGAAGTAGTACAATTGGTCTGTTAAAAATGGAAAAAGATATCGAATTTGAAAAACAGTTTCGGCCAATATTACATGATGTTGGAAACGTTAATATTTTGGTATCAGGCGATCAGTCAATGATCGCCTTTGACTGTTATAGTAAGGTTAGTGTAATATTGGGTTACTCATATTCATGATGCGTCATAAAGTAGATCAGCATAATATTTTATAGTGCAGTAATATTAGTCCTATATTGTAATACTGTGATATATTTAGAAACTCATACTCAAAATGAGTGGTGATCAAGTCCAATCTCGTGTTGAACTTGATCAATCTGGTCGATCAATGTTTATTCCTGGTAGTAATCGATTGCTTATTTATGATGCACCTAATGTTAATGTATATGAATATAATTTACAAGGTAAGACCTGATGGTTGTACAACAACTCTAATTTAATCATGCATTCATTCATGGTCACAATCGTTTTTATTAAACTAAGGCGATAAAATTGCTTGGCAAGATATCTCTCAAACAAAATTGATTTTTGTTGGTTGGTCAGTTGATGTTGGTAGACCCCAACGTAACCCCCAAACTACCGTCAACATATTCGACGTAGGTTAAGCTTTCATCAGCACTAGTAGCTCTATCGACTTTGTTCAATCCTCTGCTCAATTGAATTGAATTGAATAATATTGATTGGTTGCAGCTGATCGAGTTTGTAGGTATAGAAGATTGTAGAAAGTACAGGGAATTAATCAATGGAATACTTGAAGAAGAATCGACTGCTAAAGATTGGATACGCTTCAGATATAGAAAGAAGGATAACACACTCATTCTCTTTCCTGTATGTTGAAAATACCAGTTTGAAGTTTGTATGAAAATGACGGTAGTATTATTTAGAAGAAGATGGTGAAAATGAGAATGCTTATGAGCTAACATGAGAAGTTGTTGAACTGATTTTACAATTACGTTGGAGGTCAATTGGTCGAATTAATTAATTGATTTATTTCAGATATTCTCCTCAAAAGCAAGGTGGATAATAACTGTTAACCTTACGACTGTTACTGACCATTACGAATTAATGAATTGATTTATTTCAGATTTATTTCTCCTCAAAAGCAAGGTGGATAATAACTATTAACCTTACAACCGGAATGAAGAGCGTTGATCGACTGACATATAGTGGTTATGCTGGTGTTGTGTATGTTGACGATGATTATCTTTATGTTTGGGAAGATGTAAGACGTAGCTTGAAAGTAAGCGAGAACAATTTATTTCCATTTAATCTCTATTCTAAAGTGGAACCGTCTATAAATTGACTGTTCAGTTTCATGTCGAAAATAGCCTTGAATGTCGACTTTGACGTCTATTGCAAATGGAGACGACCAATAACGACATTTCCAACTTGAATTTATTGTAGTGTTACAAGTTTGGGGATGGTGAATATCAATTACTGCAAAATATTGACTACCAAAGGAAGGAAGGATTAATGTGTAAAATAATGATGAATTATAACCCTCATAAGATTGAACATTCGCCTCTTGAGATGGAGAAAGAAGAATTAGTTGATGTATGGGGAGAGAAAGATGCCGAAATGATTGCTATTGCTCCTTTAACGGTAAGTCATAATGATCGCAGTGTCAATATGGAAATGAGTTGGAAGGAGGACGACAACGACTGTAATGAGTTGATTATGTAAGGAGCTCTACTCTAGTCCATAGCTGATCGTTACATTCCATTCAATTCATTATAGGGACACTGTAATGGCTCACTTTTGCTACTACTGGAAAATGGAGACCATATAGCAGTAAGATATCTTACTTAGCAAATTAATAATTAGCAGTAAGATATCTTACTTTAGCTTTACTTTACAATGTGACGTCGTCATTGTTGAACGTAGGTTGTGCTAATCATAAAATTATATGCCTATAGATACTCAACCAATATGGACATTTACTCATGAAAAGATACAAAGACAACATCAAATACTTCGATGATTTCGACGAAAACAAATTCTTCGACCATGAAAATCTATGGTCGGACAAGCAGTTAATCCTATATGAAAATGGATCTAGTTTGAATATTTATAACCCCCAAACACTACAGCTACAAATCACTCTACCATTCCCTCACTTCCGGATATGGGACATGCAATGGAATCTTCAACACTCTCAACTCATCATCAGGAGTAGAAAGGATTACTGCTTAGTAACCCACGTGAAAAAGACATGATATTTGCATGAAATGTAAAGTTAATCTTGTATCTTGTACCCAATGCAATTTAACGAGAGTGACAATAAACTAAGTTAATATTGCTTCCATAATCAATGAAGATGATTGATGTGCATACTGTACAGATGGATAAAGTATACCCCCAATGTCAGTAAAACCAATACCCAAAAATAAATAAACCAAAGCATAATTAAAAGTAGTCTATGTCTAGTCTATGGTCAATGCAATTGCTGAGCTAGTTTAATGTCTATTACAAATCGTAGTCAAAGAGCGACTTGAAAGAGAAAATGAAAAACATCTGTAACAAAACATTGGTAAAATAGGAGGAGAACATAAAGATCAACATAGGGATGGAGAAAATGGATTGCAAAATTGCAGCCTATCTATCATTAAGCATCCCATCTAGTCTAAAGTAGATATTGATGACAGTCTTGTAATACTGTAGATGGCGATCTCTTCAGCTATTAATAAACTAAATCAACATCACCTCTATCAATGAAGATGATGGATGTGTGCTTTGTACAGATGGATAAAGTATACCCCTAATGTCAGTAAAACCAATGCCCAAAAATAAATAATGCAAAACACCATTGCATATTCGTCCATGGGGAGAATGCAATAGTTGAGTTGGTTCGATTGTAATTATAAATGGCAGTGAAAGAGAGATTTAAAGAGAAAACGAAAACATTTGTAAAAAGATTCAGGATTAAGATTGAGTTAAAATAGGATGAGAAAATAAAAATAGAGATAAAGAAAATGATTTGCGAAATTGCAGTCGATCATAA